CATCTGTCGTTGAGATTTTTTCGATTTATTCGCTTGGTGAAAGGGCAGATGTTCTCAAACATGTGCGTACACAAAAACACAAGGACAACATGAGTTGTTTTGAAAAAAACGAAAAATTAAACTTTTTCTTCGGAAACAAAAGACCAAAAAGTGATTAATGCAGAATGTCTGTTCTCTGCCTTTTTACTGGAGCACAACCTGCCACTGAATGCATCGGATCACGCTGCAGCTTTATTTAGAAAAATGTTTCCCCGATAGTGAAATCGCTAAGAAATATTCAAGTGCAAGGACCAAAACAGGTGCAGTTGTTAAAGAAATGGGTTTGAAAAATAAATCTTCAGTTATTGATTGCATTAAAACAGCTCCGTTCTGCCTCTCTACGGATGGAAGCAATAATACCAATTCAAAACTGCATCCAATGGTTGTTTCTTTTTTTAATCCAGAGTCTTCAGAAATTGAGTGCAGTTTACTTTCTGACCCCACTTTAGAAGGACATTCGACAGGCTTTAATATAGCAAAGCTAATTATTAAAACTTTAAAATAAAATGCAGTCCCTCTGGATAATTGCTTAGCGCTTGGTGCCGATAATGCACCAGTAATGGTAGGCTTGAAGACTGGTGTTGCAGGCATCTTAAGAAAGGCAAATTCAGATTTGCAGATTATGAGGTGCACCTGTTCACCTCTAAATTTAGCAGCTGAAAAAGGGCAGCTTCGTTACCATTAAATGTGGATGAACACATTGTTAATATTTATTATTATCTTGAAAGGAGTTCTAAAAGAAAGGAAAAATTGAAACAGTTCCAACAGCTGCATAATACTGAAATGAGAAAAATTTTGATTTTTTGTAATTTCTGCATCATTCAGCAATTCAATTGGCAGTTCTCAAAATAAAACTGCAAAATATAAGCGTAAAGCTGATACAAATTTCTCTCAAAATAATTTTAAAAAAAAAAAATTGCTCAACACACGAAACATTTTCCGATTACTGTAAGTTTATCTTGTGAAGAACGAATATTTATGGTTTTTTTTCGGACCTTAACAAAGCTTTTGCTTTTTTTTTTTACAATTCATTTTGCCATCATTCGATGTTTCTGAACACAATTCTACAAAGCAGAATTCCATTAATTCATGTTTTGCAATCAATGATTTATGATCTGTTTTAAAGACATTTTATCAAAGTTTGTAAACCAGTCTGTGTTTTGTCTTGTAATTCTATATATGATGTGATTTATGGTGAAACAGAAAATCAGAAGGAAGATGAAGATTTGGTAATAGGAGCTGCAACTACAAAAGTAGTGGAAGAACTTTCAGAAGAAGACAAAAAATAAGTTTTATCTTCATGTTAGAAGTTACTTCTGTCGAGTATGTGATTACATACTACATAAATTTCCAGTCAAAGATGAAGTGATTTTGCATGCTAAAGTTGCTGATGTTTTGCTCTAGCAAATGCATCTTTTTTGATATAAGGTACTTTTGAACAGATTTCCTGTGTTACTTCGTTTAGTCATGAAAGATGATGATATTGATGTTGCTACTGATATACTGCAGTCGCAATTTTGCAGTTACAATTAGAAAACTTGGATGAAGTTATAAAAATCAGCTAGGATTGACACCCAGTGGAGGTTAATTGGAAAATTGAAAGGTGCTGATGGAATTTTAAAATATAGTGACTCTCTGGAATTATGGTTGGCCATCTTGACAGTTCCCCATAGTAATGTGAGTGTGAGAGGATTTTCAGTGTTGTTGCGAAAACGAGCCTAAAATTAGACCTAATATTAGTGAGACACATTAGAAAAACTTTTATTAGCGAAAAGGCCTACGTGGCAATTGTATGAACAAAATTATGAAATTTCTTTCTTAACGAGAGCAAATCTGCCACTGTCCATACATTTGTATGAAATGATAAAGTGCCTTTTTTTTTTTTTTTTAACGATGAAAGAATAAAAATGTTTTTGTTAAGGTATTTTTGTTTGCTTGCATTTAAGACTTAGAACTATATAAAGTTAATTCATTATTAAAATATATTTTTATCATTAAAAAAGTCTTTTAACATTGTGAAAAATCTCCTGATTTCTTAAAAAAAATCTCCTGATTTTTGAGTGTCATAGGTTGGCAAGTATGTATTAGTGATGGATGATTCAGTTTATGTATAAGTTTCCTCTATTTGAAAGAAAGAAAACTCCTTAAATGATTATATCCAGTTGGTCTAAGCAACCATTGCAGAGATTTTGAACAGCATTTCAAAAAGTTTATATTTTATCTCTGTGCCACTTTCTGTCTCACTTCAGTAAATTTGTTCAGAAACGGGGATGACTGAGATATATAACAGTGAGAAAGGGGAATTAGTATCCCAGAGAATGGATCTGAGGGCTTTCCATGTCTTTTCACTTACCACCAATTTGTTGAGAGGATTTTTACCTCCATAGTATTTTTAAGGTCCCCATGCCGTTTTTCAAAAAGTGGATGAAGTGAAATTGGTGGAAATTGCTTTGCATGAATAAAAAGAGGCAATTTGAGCAAAGAAAATCAGTTTTGTTTAAGGAGTTGGCTATTCAAAGTTCTTAATCAAGAATATAATGTATCTGACCAGAGTTAGCTATCTGGAGTAATGGTGTGAGAATGTGCAAAGGAATACCTCTGAAAGGTGTTTCACCATGGTAGCATTTTGTCTTTCCACGTTTTATGTGTTTGCAGTGCTTTAGACATATGCTCATCTGTCTTACTTTTAAAGAGAAGAAATGTTCCTGAAATTTACTGCGTGGCCTACCCTAAAAGGGCTGCTTGTATTAGGATGAATGCCAAATAAAGCCTGGACACCTTTTACTTCAGTTTCCATCATAGGTATTTTTTTTTTTTTTTTATCACCAGGAGAGACATCCATTTTGCTGGTGTGAAAAATTTCTCAAAATCAATACCCTGTTACTATATTAATATCCGTAATGCCTTGCAGAGTAGTTGAATCTCTAACTCCTAAGTGTTCCATTTGTTGCATTCATAAATTATTTTTACTTCAAATTTAGGAGCAATTAGGAGAGCAGTTTCTAGACTTTTAACAGGCACACAAACAACCTTTTTGTAAAGACCGCCATTTACTCCAAACCATCAATGCAAAAGACTGCAATGGTGTTGTCAGCAAGCCACTTGTACATGTGAATGGAACAATGTGGTATTCAGTGACAAGTTTCAGTTTTGGCTGTCTGATGGTAGTCACCGGTTAAAAGCCTGGAGGCGTCAGAAGATAGAGCTAATCCGACTACTATTGCTAAACTCCACATCGCTCGTCAGTGTGGCATTACGGTTTGGCATGCCATCAGTCATGATAGCATGTTGCCTGTGTTATGTATCAGAGGTACATTGATGGCACAATAATGCATTCATAAGATGCTGCAGTAGGTTATGTTACCTTACCTTCAGTGGTATCAAAATGGTATTTTCCAGCAGGATAATGCAACACTGTACATGTCATTCGTTAGCTGACAAGCCTAACAGCATATCCCATTGCTTCCGTGACTTGCGATGCCTCCCGATCTTTCGCCGATTGAGCATATCTGGGATGTGATTAGTCATTGTTTATCTGTTCTGTCCCACCTATTATTGGAGGAGGGTTCAGAGCATATGGGCTTCCATCCCTCAGAAAACTCACTATTCACACTCAAATGAAATCTAACCTTGTAGGGTTGCTGCTTGCCTCACCATGAGAGATCATCATACGTCTTATAGATATACTGTATATCTCAGCACTGTATAAATTTATCTTTCTATAAATAACATTGCTTATTTACATGTGCATACTCTGTCTGTTTATCAATAGATATCATATTCTTCCCACTCTTTCATGGTGTTGCATTTTCGATGTCAGTCAGTATATTTGAATGCATATACTTCCATCCTTTGGAAGCCAGTGTCACATTCCTGTGTTTGCTGATAGTGTGTTTCAGTTTTCTGCTTCTAACTTTGCATTATGCTAACTGAAAATGAATATCATTAAATAGCCATTGGATAATAATTACCCTTAAAACAGTATCAATATCTCTGAAAATAGCTAAAATGAAATTTGAGTAATGCTTAGTGACACATGTGGAAACATTTCACATGGGAAACGAGAAGTAAATGAATGGTTAGTTCTGAAAGTTAAAGAATTTGTATAAATGAATAATGTCAATTCTATATCAACATCTATACATATATATCTTATAAAAAAGTTTTTCAGTAAAGACATAAATTAATGAAAGAAAAAGTATTTTTTGTCACCTTTGCATAATTTCATTTAGTCATTTTTTGTTTCATCAGGTAGGTGTGGGATGTAGGAAGCAGTGTTTATCCTGGTCAGTCTGTGTCATTTTATTATATATGTATATATACTAGCTATCATTGTCATACTAGTGCCATAAATACTACTGTTGGTTTTAATTGACTTGCTTTATGTCTGCTCCTCTCGTGAAAAACGTTAGCTAAGTTAAAAAAAAAAAAAGTTCTTAAATCAGTGTTAGATTTTATTTATGTACCATGCTTTATTTAGGATCATTTTCTGTCAGTATGTATCAGTTTTTTGCTTTATGTACAGTTATTGTTTGGCTGTTTATTATTAGTATGCATTTTTGGCTAACTTGTGCATTATGTTAGCAATTTATTTGGCTGCTTCTAAAAATTGAAAGTTAATTTTTTATTTTACTTTACTAATTTATATTTATTACAATGTTACATTTTTATCTCTTTATGTATTTCTTTAACAGATCAGTTATTGACTGTTTCATTAATTATTTATGTCAACTTTTACCCAAGCAGCAGCTTTTAATGCACTCAAAAGTGATTTTGATAAATTCAGTTAGTGTAATAAATTTAATAAGTGTTATTTTCATGTTTCTCTACTTATCTTTCTTCATGTTAATGTTCTGTTTTTTGTGGCAGACAAACCTCAATGCTAATAATTTTTATTTCTTAAAAAAAAAAGCAAGTTTACCTCTATTTTTCATAAAATATCAGAATTTAATTTCCCCCCTAGGTTTGTTAAATTCAAGTGTCATCAATGTCAGTCATAAGAACTAAAACTAAGGAAAATGGGTGAACTGCAATGTACTTTGGAGTTTTCTGTTGAACTTCACAAATTCATCAATGTAGACTTATTTCAAAGAGGGTTTGTTATGCTTATTTATTTATCAATTCAAATATAATATTTTTCTTTCATTTTTATGTTATAACTCATGTATTTGTACTAGATTCTTAACACCTTTTTCCTTCCTGTTGAAGTCTTATATTCAGTTTTTGTGTGATACAAATGTTTTATGTGCACAGTGCATCTGTAAAGTTTTAAGAATGAATTTCTTTTTAGCCAATTCCCCCGAAACTGCAAAAACAGTAATTTGTAGTTCTAACACAACTTGTTTCTATTTAAATATTGCCTGTTTACAAAGAGAGGTTTTTATATAATTATTTGTTTGATTTTATGCAGCTGATACCCATGGATTTAATAGTCAAATTTAAAAAACAAGGATTTTTTTTTAAATTATAATATTCCTGTATGAGACTTAAAGTGTCACTATGTACTTGCAATGTACTAACTGTTTCCAGAAGTGAAATCTCAGCTGAAAGGGCATCATTTTCAAAGGAATTTATAATTTCAAAAAAAACTATTTCATTGGGACAAAACGGATTTCAAAGAATTGCTTTCTGTTATGCAATCCAGAAGCATCATCATGAATGTGCCAAAAAATATATAGCATTAGAGAAAATGTGTGTGTGTGTGTATATATATATATAGAGAGAGAAAGGACAAAGCAGTGAGTAAGCTGTTTTTTCATATCTTAATTTTTTTATGAATTCAGTTCTGAATCTTTGCAGACACATTGTGCATGCTCCATTTTCGTTCCGTCAGTAAGAAGCTTATTAAATAGTTGTACTCAAAACATGTAGTATTCTGTTCTTGTAACGATGTATCGTATGAATAACTGTCATTTCTGCAATGTCAAGCTCTTGAAGGTAAATTTTAAAAAAATAATTTTTGCATGATGCTTATACTGATTAGGGTGGATGTAAAAATAAATAATTGAAAGTTTTAAAACTTTCAAAATTTAGCTATTATTAGGATTAAGGATATAAATTTCAATTTAATCAAACTAGCCAGCTGTAAAAGTGCATTTATTTGACAGATAACTGAGTACGTATTGGAAAAGACTGCCGAAGATAGCTTATTTCATTACAAAACCAGATGGAGTGAAGAATTTCTGTTAACAAAGAAAGTATCCAACAGCCTGATATCTAGGAAAAGGAAATGAACCTCATTTACTTTCACAGAAAATATGAAGGAAAGGACATGCTTTTGATGTCTCAGATACAGTGCTTCTTTACACCTTTCATACTGTTAAGTTTTTTCATTTTCTTCTGACACAAGTTGTTATGTTATTTTCTTCCTTCACGTTCGTACGGGGTTCGTAGATTTGAGTGATTAACGACGACACTGGATGAAGTATCGAAACACACTTTATTTATCAGTATTAATCAGGACAACTCCAAAACACTTTTACAGTCGTCGAAGATCTACTATAAACACGCTGGAACAATCAGCGACACAGCCTTCACACTGTCAGGCAATAATGGTGGAGACAGCTTCCTGCAAAGCACCCGACTCTGCTTTCCGGAGTACAGCTCCCGATTCTGCTTGGTTGTTCTCGGAACCCCACATACTCTTGAAACTCTCCACGCTACAACTCGCAATGCATTCGACAACACACAGAGTACGACTCCCGACTCTTCGGTTCAGTCGTTCCCGGAGCTCAACACGCACTCTCGACGATGCACTAACCGCGATACACCAAGAGACTCCTTCGGTGCACTTGACGACCCACCTCGCCACTCGTTGCCCGGCTGTCAACTCGATCAACTCCACACGGCTCTCTAGACAAGACACCAACTCGATACTAACTCGCTCTCTAGACGAGGCATACACTCTGAGACACACTCACCCTTTCGATGAAGCACACATTGACTCTCCGCGTACCAGCAGGGTTTATATAGCTTTTGATTGGTGTTCGAGAACATTCTGGGCTAAACCGGTAAGAATTCGTTCCAGAAGGTTCTCCATCCGTCCATGGTATATTGCCAGTTTTGTTGCCAAATGGGCGATTTCTCACCAAATGTGGCAACCTTGCTTTCCCTTGCCATTATATGGCAACCCTAAAACTACTTTGTGGGGAAGCCATCTTACCGCGCCTGTACATTTCGTAACACTGCCCCCTCCCAAGGACTGTACGTCCCGGGCAAAACAACCCTTGGTCGGAAGCATAATTCGATACAAACAAAAGGTTCTAAAACAAATAAATGACATAACTAAAGAAGGAAATATTTACACAAATTAGACACATGACAATTTTAAATTATATACATTAAAGTTCAGAATGAATTGCAGCCTCAGTCTATTTAAAATATACCCGGGTCAAATACTTTTCCACTGCAGTTCTTAGTTGCATTTCTGTTTTGCATATCACAGTATGAAGATTCAGACATTTCATCCACAGGAAGATCTGAAACAGTTTGTTCATTACTCTGTAGTTCATTCCCATCATGTATACAGTTCACCTCGGTATTTTCAGCCGCTAGTACATGCCCATTCACCTTCATTTCCTGGGAACCAGTTCCGATGTTCGCACCAGGATCGAGCAGAAGTATCCGGGTTTAGAATCAAGTCCTTGTCTACAAAATCTGCACTATGAGACGCACACCCAGTTTGCGAAGTGGGTGAAATTTTCTTGCAGTACTGGAGCGCACTGCTTAAGCTGCACATCAGCTTCTCCCATCTCTGCATCACAGGCACTTTGAGATGGTTCAACACCTGCTGCCTACGACTTCATAACTTCACTATCAGTTTTGACGAATTTAACAGTCGCATTTTCATTTTTTTCCACTTTCAAGGTACTTGTGAATCAAAAGCTTCTCTCCCGTGTCTTTATTTCTTCATCTTTTCGTTCTTTTTCTTTAATCCAGTTAGATGTTTCATCCTTAATTTCTTGATCTTTCTCAGACAATTCATTAGCCACTTCCTTCTTTTCTTCATCCTTTGATCCTTCAGCTGCCACTTCTGTCATTTCCACATTGTCTTTTATGCCTCCAATTTTTTCTGTAAGCTCCACTTTCAGAGGTTGGAGTTGCTCTCGTGCATTTTCTTGGCCACCATTTATCTCTTCTCATTGGCCTTTCTTCTCTTCTAGTCCAGCTTTGATCTCAGCTGTCATCTCTTTATATCCAGCTTTTATCTCATCATATCCGCTTTTATCTCAGCATATCTGGCTTTCAACTTCTCCTGTCCGGCTTCCATCTTTTCTTGGAATTCAGCAAAGGCAGTCACGAGCTGTCTTAATAGATCTTCCATTGGTCTTGTCACTGGCATTCACTCATAAACCCCACTTCTGATACCAGTTGTTGCGTTTTTTTTTTTTTTCGTTTCTTCTGACACCAGTTGTTACGTTTTTTCGTTTTCTTCTGACACTAGTTGTTACGTTATTTTCTTCCTTCACATTCGTACGGGGTTTGTAGATTTGGAGTGAATAACGACGACACTGGATGAAGTATCGAAACACACTTTATTTATCAATATTAATCAGGACAACTCCAAAACACTTTTACAGTCGTCGAAGATCTACTATAAACACGCTGGAACAATCAGCGACACAGCCTTCACACTGTCAGGCAATAATGGTGGAGACAACTTCCTGCAAAGCACCCAACTCTGCTTTTCGGAGTACAGCTCCCGATTCTGCTTGGTCGTTCTCGGAACTCCACGTACTCTCGAGACTCTCCACGCTACAATTCGCGATGCATTCGACGACACACTGAGCGCAACTCCTGACTCTTTGGTTCAGTCGTTCCCGGAGCTCAACACACTCTCTCGACGATACACTAAGAGACTCCTTCGGTGCACTTGACGACCCACTCGGCACTCATTGCCTGGCTGTCAACTCGATCGACTCTGCACGGCTCACTAGACGAGACACCAACTCGATACTAACGAACTCGCACTCTAGACGAGGCACACACTTGCCCTTTCGATGAAGCACACACTGACTCTCCACGTACCAGCAGGGTTTATATAGCTTTTGATTGGTGTTCGAGAACATTCTGGGCTAAACCGGTAAGAATTCGTTCCAGAAGGTTCTTCATCCGTCCATGGTAAATCGCCAATTTTGTCACCAAATGGGCAATTTCTCGCCAAATGTGGCAACCCTGCTTTCCCTTTCCATTTTATGGCAACCCTAAAACTGCTTGCCGGGGACGTCATCTAACCCGCCTGTACATTTTGTAACAATACTTTAGAAATCTATATTTATTCTCTTTCCTTTTTAGGAACTTTATGTTTGACATGTGATTAGGTAAACAAAGAATCTGTTTCTTAGCTTTAACTCACACTGAATGACTACTGCTCAGCATGTTCAGTATTTAAACTAAGCAATTCCATTCTTCATTAATTAATATTATATTTCGCGTATCATTTTAACAACAGGTGTTTTCCCTATGGAATTTAAGAGATTTATATTCAGGTTGTCATATATGTGATTTTCTTTCCAAAATGCGGTGTGGGGGAAAACATTATTGCACTTTACATGTTAGGCGCATTATGCTTTATTATACTTTTAATAAATCTTATTATAATTATCTTGCAACTTTTCAAGATGGAGTTAACCGCTTATAATCAGATTCCCTCATCTGTTATGAAAATCTTATAAGCATTCTAATAGTTTTTTAGCATGTTCACTGCCATCTACAAGAATATTTGTAGTTGACCCCAGTTTACTTGCCAGCTACAAGATACCTCATTATTGCTTGCCCTACCAAAACCAGTGAGTATGAGTATTGCCTTAGCAAATGCATGCAATGTGTAGGTGTTTGGCATTCAGGAAAGGACAAAATAATACCCTTGGTTTAGTGAAATTAATCATTTGTTTCTCAAAATGTAGATGCAGTTACTAAATATTCAGAATAAAAAAACAATTTTGGGGGGTTTATTCAGTTAGGAAATGTTCAAATTTTTGTTCACTGACTCGTGTAAGACTAATGAAAAGTAATACATTGCATGTGCAGGAGTTTTGCATGAATGCACAGAATGGGCGAGTATGGTTTATCTAGTCCTGAGTTATCTCGTAGTTGGCACAGGGAGCAAAAATATTATTTCGTGTGCCAACTGTGAGTATACTCATGTGAATTTATTTACTGATAAAAATAGTGTTATATCTCTGTTTAAATAAATAGTAAAACAACAGAAAATAATTTTAAAGCATAAAAATGCAGATAGAATCTTGGTGCATGTAACAAATGCAGCTTAACCGCTTTCGCTGCAACCATGTTAATTTTAAAGGAGAAATATCTGTTAAATTTGTTTTCATTTTCAGAAAGGGATTAATTATAAAAATGCTGTAAAATGCTTATAAAAATAAAGTCATGCTTAACACAAAGTCTTGCGTCAAAGTGATGTATGTTTGGACGAATAAGATATTTTATAAGATCTCTTTCTCATTGTTTGTTCTATAGATGGTTCAAGGATAAGAACTTAACTGCCGCTGTGAAAAATATTTGTACTTCATATCCAAATTTTATATCTGCAAGTGCTAGTCGTGGTTTATGTTATTCTACTTGGGACATTTCAACTTTATGCCCATTATTCTTAAGAGCAATGGAGCTGGGTAGTAATCTCAGTTTCTGAAGCAGATCTGCATCAGACCATCACAGAATTAGCCAACCAACTACAGTCATTCCAGTCATCTGTGAAAAAAAAACATTTACAGCAAATTGGAAAGACCTTACAGATACAAAATTATAATACCACATTAACTCTGGGCTGACAACAAAGATCAGCTTTCTTCATGTTCAACGCCTTGCTCAGTGGGGAGGGGGAATTTCTTTATTGAGTCATCACTAGAGATGAGAAATAGGCTCTGTATATTGGCACCAAGTTTAAAAGTAATTTTCTTTCACCATATCAGGTCAGATACTGGTTGCAACAACTGTACTTTGAAGTATTGAAACTTGATCATCTTATAATTACAAACCTCCACTGTCAACAGCAAAATTGTCTGGATCAAGTTGTTATGTTAAGAATTCTACACTGATAAATAGAAAAGATGTTATCCTTCTCCATAACAGTAAAATTTGCATAGGACACGTGTGACCCAATAAAAGGTTAAAGAATCAGGTTGTAAAGGTAAGCTCCATCTGCCCTATTCACTAGACATTGTGGTGATAAATTGTGATCTCATCTGATCTCTAGATCACTTTCTGTGGGGAACATAGTTCTGTATTTTAACAAGGTAAACACAGGTCTCTTGGATTTTTTTGCATACAAGGTGCCTCCCTTATAAAGAAGTTATTAAATGTATGTTTCTACAATGGCAAACCATTAATAATAATGATAAACATATAATATAGATATTAAATATTTCTGTTATCACCACTTTCTGATTGTCATCCTAAAACATTACCCTCTGTTACATCTAATATTACAATATTCTGATATAGTGATAATTTTCAAGGTATTCAAAGAGGGCTTATGTATTTCATCAGAAATTTATGCATTTTAAATGCTGTTCATTTCAACTTCAGAGTTGACAGCTTAAAATAATGATGATATATTGAGGAAGTATATATTTATTTAACACCACTGATGCATTATTTTATATTCAAAGTATGTCCTTTTATGTGTAAATGAGAAATATTGATAGCTTATTTTTTAACTATGCAAAATGCATACAGTACAAAGTCTGTAATCCGGACATCCATTATCCAGAATCATCTATAATTCGGACCTCAAAGCCACAAACTTTACACATGCGCATAAGGAATGCGCATACATTACGCATGCACACGTTGAAAGAAATGTTTAATAAAGTAAACAAATAAATATTAAGCTTTTTTTTTTTTGTAAAATTTGATACCCTTACCAGATTTAAATTGATGATCTATAATCCAGAAAAACCCTTAATCCGAAATCCTGACGAGTCCGGATTACAGACTTTGTACTGTATTTACTGTTTTACCATCTTTATGGCATCTGGAATTGTGTAGAAAAATAATATATAAAAAATTCTCTATTCCTGATGTGTGTTATGCCATATATTTCTATTTAATATGCAGTTTTTGTCTTGCCCGTAACTGTGTTCAACTTTAATAAAGTGATGCAGTTTCTGTGAAATTCTACATGAAATTATATAGGGAAGTCTATGAAATGTACTGAAGTTTTTTCATGCTGTTTCTTTCCTTAAATAACATTAAAATGTTGCTAGCTGTTTTTCATTTTTTTTCCCCTCTCCAGCTTTTATCAAGTTCGAAGTACATTGAAAGCATCACCAAAGCTTCCTGTGAAGATAGAAGTGAATTTGCCCAAAAATTCTAGTACGTTGAGCAAACCCATTTTAAGATTTAATAACTTTTTGTTCTAACTCATTACTTTTTTTATACACTTAATGCATGCATCAAATTTTGGGTTAATTAAATTTCAGTAAGTTTAATTTTATATGCATCAACAGTGTCATTTTCTTGTGTATGATCTGTCAAGTCTAAGATTTGCTTTCATTTTGAAAAAGTCTTTATGTAAGTCTATTTATGTAAGCATTGTTTGATAGGTTTTCTTATGACTGGGATTTGCTTTAATTTATTGATTTTTAGAAAAAAAATACAATTCAACAAGTAATATTAAAAAAAAAAAAAAAAAAACCTTAAAGTCAAATCCTACTTAGGTCAACAAAGAAAAATTTTATTTGAATTAATTTTTCAGAGTTGCCAACTCTCCCGATTTTCGACCGCTCTCCCGCTAACCTGATTTACAATATATTTCTCCCGACTTTTTTGTATTCTTAAAATTTCTCACGATTTTTATGGAACTTGGCTTAATACTTCGCTATATGAACAAAAAAAAAAAAAAAAAAAAAGTGGTTTTGGACGTCTGAAAGCAATTGAATTGTCTCTAGATTATATCTAAAACAAAACCTTGTGAATCAGAGATGAGAACTTCTGCTTTGTGAGTGAGAGCATATACGTATCCAGAAACGTCGTTCTCCAGTTCTCCAATGGGCATCGAGCTCCACTGCGTGTCATCTGGTATGTATTAGCCAATGAGCACAAAGCAAGCTCAAGGCTGTTATTTGGATGTTCTTTAGTTATTTCATTCATCTTTTCCTATTACTTGCTTTTAGCACCCCTCTAAGAGGTGTCAATCATTTGGCCTTAAAGACCGCATTGAATAGCAGGCGGAAACGAAACTGCTCCTTCCGTCAGCTGACCATGGACCTTATAAGAAATAAACTAACCCATATGGGTTTTTTCCCACGTCTGAGGCATTCCGGGCTATCACCTTGATCACATCCAGAGGAGTAAGGACGACTTGCAGAAATTTAACAGTTGTTGCCTATTGCAGCGTGTATAATTGTTAAGAAAAAGCTGGTTTTAGTGCCTCATTTCACAAATTAGAATTTCTACATATTTTTATTTTTGAAATTGAGATTGATTTTTAAAAATTTAGTATAGTTATCAAGGATAATTAATATTTCAAATAATTGTAAATCTGTTGCATGCTTTCAGGGCTGGATATTTTTTTAGCTTTTCCTATGCTGTAAGGAAATTTGTAACTACTTCTAGAAAATATTTTAAATCTGAACTAATAGAAAATTTCAAACGAGCAATTTTCTCTTGCAAATTTTATGCTTTTTATTGGTGTAAATAAGTAAAAAATACTAAAATATTTAAAAATTAATTTTTGAAAGTTTTGTTTAAAATTCTAAGTTGTGCTGCTTTTTTAAAATTATAGATGAGTATTATAGCACAATTTCTATAAAGGAATTTTATTTCATTATATTCATAATACATCATAGCGCTAAACACTTTTTTGACTTCTAAAAATTTTTTATACATTTAATTTTAATATTAAAATTGTATTTAACTGTAATAATTAATTTTCCTTGTATTTTATAGTGATTATTTTTTTTAATTTATTTTTAGTTCTGCATAAGATTTTTTTTTTTTTTTTTTTTTTTTTTTTTTTTTTGTTAATTTAATTTATTAGCTCAAAGGGCCGGTAGTCTAGAAAGGCTTTAGTTTCGAAGCAGCATTTTGCGCTGTTTTACTATAAATGTCCGTGTCTCCTTGCAAATTGTTGTTTATCGCCCTGTATCAAATTTAAAGAAATTAAATAATGAAGAATCTGTTTGAATACGTGTATTTTTCTCACACTGTGACAAAAAACGACAGTATCTAGAGCCATCAAATTTTGAATAAGTAATCCCACCCAACATAGGCATCTGGATGGCGAATTTCGAATTATTTTAATCTATTCATATTTGTAAATTTAAGAATTTTGATTAACACCTCAACAACTCATGTACGGAAATAACAGTTTATCTCCATGCGGAAATTCTAAAGATATGTTGTTTTCAAATGTATGGGGTTTACGGGCGAAGAACATGATATTCAATAAATATAGGTAACACACAAAACGTTAAAAAAACTTTCCTTTTGGGCGTAATATAAAATCTGAGTGCTTCTAGATTTTATTTTACCTATCCCCCCTTTCATTACACTCATAAAATCTAATGCTCCGAATTTTATAAATTACTAAAATAAATATTTCACTTTAATGTTAATAATTTAATGATGATAAAATCAAGTAAATGATTGTTTTGTAATGTTATTATAGATTTGAAAATCACTGCCTGAAAATGTCCATTAAATTTTTTTAAAAAGTAATGGTAGGCTTGAGGACTGGTGTTGCAGGCATCTTAAGAAAGGAAAATTCAGATTTGGCAGAATATAAGGTGCTCTTGTCATTTCTTAAATTTAGCAGCTGAAAAAGGAGCAGCTTCTTTACCAATAAATGTGGATGAACACATTGTTGATATTTATTATTATCTTGAAAGGAGTTCTAAAAGGAAGGAAAAATTGAAACAGTTCCAACAACTGCATAATACTCAAATGAGAAAAATTTTGAAACGTGTGTACACGCGGCTGTCTTAAAGAATGCTTATCTAGAATCCTCGATAAATGGAACTCCCTTCTTGCATTTTAAAAAAGTAAATGCTTCGAGTTAATAAGATAAAAGGCTCTATTGAAAGTTGTAAAATACCTAAGTAATGGAGATGTAGTTACTACTTCCATTGTTAAAAATAGGTTTGAAAAAAATAAAGTAATTTCTGCACCATTCAGCAGTTCAACTGGCAGTTCTAAAAATAGTACTGCAAAATATAAGCGTAAAGCTGATACAAATTCCTCTCAAAATAAAAGCATTGCTCAACACACGGAACATTTTCTGATTACCGTAAGTTTATCTTGCGAAGAACGAATATTTATGTTTTTTTCTTCAGACCTTAACAAAGCTTTTTACAATTCATTTTGCCATCATTCGATGTTCTTAACACAGTTCTAGAAAGCAGAATTTCATTAACTCATGTTTTGCAATCAATGATTTATGATCTGTTTAAATCATTGTAAAACAAGTCTGTGTTTTGTCTTGTAATTCTATATATGATTTGATTTATGGTGAAATAGAAAACAGAAGAAAGATAGATTGGTAATAGGAGCTGCAACTAAAAAGTAGTGGAAGAACTTTCAGAGAAGACAAAAATAAGTTTTAGTTTATCGTCATGTTAGAAGTTACTTCTTTCAAGTAGTGATACATATTACATAACATTCCAGTCACGATGAAGTGAAGTGATTTTGCCTGCTAAAGTTGCTGAGTTTTGCTCTATGAAAATGCATCTTTTTTCCTATAAGGTACTTTTTGAACAGATTTCCTGTGTTAGTTCATTTAGTCATGAAAGATGATGATATTGATGTCGCCACTGATAAATATTGCATTCGCAAGTTTGTAGTTTACAATTAGAAAACTGGATAAAGTTATAAAATGAGCTAGGATTAACACCCAGCGGAGTTTAATTAGAAAAACTGAAAGGTGCTGATGGAATTTTAAAATATAGTGAACTGTCTAGAATTATGTTGGCCATCTTGACAGTTCCCCATAGTAAATGCAGAGTGTGAGAGGATTTCAGTGTGTTGCGAAAATGAGGACTAAATTAGATCTAATATTAGTGATGACACATCAGAAAAACTTTTATTAGCGAAGGCAGGCCTATGTGGCAATTGCTATGAACAAAATTATGAAGTTTCTTTCTTAATGAAAGCAAAATCTGCCACTGTTCATAACATTTGTATGAAAACTGATTAAAGTGCCTTTTTTTGTTTTTTCTTAAACAATGCAAGTAATAAAAATGTTTTTTATGTATAAGGTATTTTTGTGTTGCTTGCATTTAAGAATTAATAACTATTTAAAGTTAATTCATTATTAAAAACTATATTTTTATCATTTAAATAGTCTTTTTAATCTCCTGATTTTTTAGTGTTATAGGTTGGCAAGTATGCTTTTTATTAACATTTTTTCATCTCGAATTTATGATGCTGACGGTGGTGTATAATTTCTCTTTCTATCCATGTCTCGTAATGCTTCACTATTGCAAGGAACCTTTCCAGTGAATTTTGAGCAGTCCAGTTCTTCAATTAATATTCCGTCTAATCATTTCACACAACTCAAGGCGACATATGCTAGACCTGTTGCGAAGAGTTTTTGTAGGAAGCTTTTCTTGCCGCTTATGTTTTTCTTTCTCTAATTGTTGCTTGCGTCGTGTTGTAGTTTATTTTTGCATTCTCTGTGAAGCAAGGGACATTTTTAAGCGGTTATATTTTAAACATATATTATTATCATGTTAGCATAGAAATACGAGGAGAATTTTTACTACATATTGGGACATTACATCCGCTTCATTCAACTCTATTAAACTACAATTCTTTAATTCAATACACTTTAAAAATCTTTAGAACTCTATCTTACTGTTGTCACTTATTCTTTTTAAATATTACGATCCCATTTACCACAGTCATGTACTATTATTTATAAGTTGTTATAAAATTAATTTTTACGGCAAGTGAGAATTCCTAATAAACAATCATTATTTGTAAGTCTTATAATATATTTAATAAACACAGCATATCTTTAATTCCGATAAACAGGAATAAATAAGTAGGAATTGACTTTAACATTTTGACTGCCCAACACGAGATAGTAACTCATATTAGCACTCTTCTTCAGGACACTCAATACGAGTATTTCATAGTTTCTTGACTTGCCACTTTTGCGCCGCTATGAGTTACTCACATGTTTGTGCTAGTTTTAGTTGTACCGAGGCAACAAGTTGAAGTACGTCTGTACGAATCGACTCGTAGTGGGCTTCTGTGAAGAGCTTTGTCTAACAAAAGCCAACTATGAGATAATTCGTAAGACCCTTTTTTATACCCCCAATTAAATCCTGGAAACTTTTTAATGATTGTTACAAATCATAATTAGTATTTTTAATAATATAATATGATTAAATCAATTTGGCTTCTCGAACCGTAATCCGAAAAGTGCCTTGGCAGTCAACATGTTAATATGTGAAAAAACTCTGTTTGTTATTGGTTACTACAATAATATTTAACTAAAAATGTTTCTTTTATAATTTTTGTTCTTCCAGGTTGCTCCTTGGTATTTCCTGCTTGCATAGTAAATGGAACAGCTGTTAGTAAAACGTTTCAGATTCTATATAAGAATGAAGAGATTATTTTGGATGATATTATTATTTTTAAAGTCCATGCCCTTGTTGATGGTCATAAGGTAAGTTGTTATATATATTATTCCTAGTGTATTGTTATTTATTGGTTTATTTCTGATTATAAATGCAGTGTTTTGAAATTGCATATTTTAGCTTATATATACATATATATATGTAGTCTGTTTTGAAAGAGTCTGCTGGGAATCATATAAATTTTTAAGATGTTCTAAATCCCTTTTGCTAAAAATTGGCATGCCTGGTAAAATATAAGGGAAATGTATTTTTATTTGTATTTTAATACCTCTGTAAAGTATATATTTATCCATACTTTTTCAAAAAATCTAAAATGCAAACATGTTTGCAATTTTTTTTCTTTGCAATAAGTCACTTAAATAATGTTATTTCTTTTGTTTGGGCGATTTGTTGAAGATCTTGTATTTTGTAGAGTTCTTTGTATAGGACACTACTACAAAAGCATGCTTCTGGAGTTCCTGTTTGACAGTTTCAATAATTTGGATGTTATACTTCAAAATTGAATTTTATATTTATTATTTCTTTTTATTTTTGAGTTGTGACAGGTTAAAGTATATGAAAAATTATGTAGATATTTATTACATGTGAGGGAAAAAATAAATAATTTTTTATAAGAATTGAGTGCACACAGTTACTTTGAAAAACAAGAAAAACTGTATAACTTGCAGAAACTTTCAAGTTGCTGTTCAATATCTCTGAACAGGTTTCCTCGTTACTTTTAGCATACACATAACAACCATTTTGTTGGACAAAGTACACAATGTTTTCAATCTCTTTTTCAGTAATAATATTTATTCTTAGATAAGTATTGGAAAGAAGTAAAGCAATCCAAAAATGTTTGTTTGCTATATGCAAATGATTCCCCCCATGAAGCTACTACTGAGCTGCTGCAAATTACTCAAGAGTTCATGAGAATTGAGTGAAGTTAGAATATATTTTATTCTGATTATAGTTGTAACAGGAAGTGATTTAACAGATGTTTATTGACATTAAAAAAAAATTAAAATAGCATTAGAATATAAGTCAGTTGTCCAATGCTTCATAAATCATTTAAATGTATCATTTGTCTTGAAAGGCCTTAGAATAAAGCCAGGTATAAAAAAAGGATATTCAAACAAAATCTAGTAATTAGTGCTAGAAACCATTCTGCCAGGAGTTAGACTATGAATATATACCTTTGTCATCCTTTCATTACAGAATGTTAGCACGGAGGCCAGTTATAAACGAGCTGTGTTGTAAGGAAGAAATCTTATCAGCCAGATGATCAGAAATACCATGTGGATCAGGAAGTGATTTAACAGATGTTTATTGACATTAAAAAAAAATTAAAATAGCATTAGAATATAAGTCAGTTGTCCAATGCTTCATAAATCATTTAAATGTATCATTTGTCTTGAAAGGCCTTAGAAATAAAGCCAGGTATAAAAAAGGATATTCAACAAAATCTAGTAATTAGTGCTAGAAACCATTCTGTGCCAGGAGTAGACTATGATATATATACCTTTGTCATCCTTTCATTACAGAATGTTAGCACGGAGGCCAGTTATAAACGAGCTGTGTTGTAAGGAAGAAATCTTATCAGCCAGATGATCAGAAATACCATGGTTAAAATTAGGTAAAACAAGGTGTAGTTTTGCATTGATTTTAAATTGGTCTCTCTTGTTCAGAAGGAAAACTACTTTGTCAAAAGCAATTCCGGAAAGCTTATTCTTGGCAGATAAATTATTGCTAGCCTCTTGCATTGTATGACTGGTGCTTGTGATTTTTTGCGTTGTATATGCTTGTTCATTGCTATCATCTAAATAATTATGTGCATTCACAACTGCATTTTGCTTTTCCTACCTCATTTGCTATTTACTATCCTTTTTTTTTTTTTTTCTAATATTTTTATGGAGGTGTTTTTCAAGCTTCAGGTAACATTCTAATGCCATTTATGATTTTTCACTGAATTGGATTTTAAGAGAGCATTCTGAAATAGTGCCTTTTCACTGTAACATGAAGCAATGATGGTACTTGTACAAGTCTTTGTCGAAAAACCGCTAGGATCAAATACTTATCATTGCTGTTGGGGGTATCAAAAATTCAATATAAGCTACCTGATTTTAATATTCTTAACGCTACTTTTCTTAAACATCTAAATAATATCTCCAAGCATTTACACATCAATATGTAGAGTTCCTCACTTTGGAATTCTAAGTTAATGTTGAAAGTGAAGAATCTAAGAACTGATAAGCGAATAATCGCTTGAGTTCGGTAACAAGAAATAACAAGATAGAAGGGTAACTAACCCTTTATTATTCCAATAAGATTTAACAAAACTCCACCTGGGAGTGTACAAGCAAAACCCGCACTTGGACTTGAACTTAAAAGACTAAGAATTAAACTAAAACTAAGATTAACTAAAGAAGTATAGCCGAAGCTGTCAAGGTTCAAATCGAGTTGGCCCCTTAACTTATTTGACTACGAAGCTTAGCAAGGGCCTGAGTATGGCCTAGCATAATAACAGCTTTGAGAGAGAGAGTGGCCAAAAGGCAGATGCGCGTAAATCAGAAACTCTGATTCTCTCTGACTCAGTAAGTAACTTCGTGGTTTAAATACCGCTCCTCCTCATTAAATATTCAGCAAGATTCCAAAACTACGTTCTGGCCGGAAGTAGTAAGTCGAAGTTAAGAATTTGACAGGAAAGAACTTTAACTTAAAATTTAACTGTTAATAAAATTAACATAATCCTTACAAATATTTGTGATAAACTTTATTAAACACAAATCGTTTTCTTAATACAAACAATGTTACCACTAAAACTTAAATAAACCATTACCTGAAAACATAAAAATTTAAATATGGAGGAGTAAATGCATATATCAATTTCTGACATATTCCCACCTTTTAAGTTGGAGAAAATTAATCAAAACAATAGTATATTCAATGCAAAAATTACAAATATACTAAAAATAGAAAATTCAACATAGTAATTTAAATGTATAGCATTTTTACAATACACATAGGTCTAAAAATTATGAAACATGAATTTAAGATGGACAGACCTGTACACAGTGCAGGTAAAATGGATAATCCACCCTTTTCACCTGTCCTTTAGAATAACAGGACCTGCCTAATCTATACCTGTGTTACTTCAAAAATGTAGGCATCTCTCATCCTGTCCTATGGCAGTGGTGCAGGAAGCGTCTTTTTTTTTTTTTCATTATTATTTTTTAAGTCTCTTACATCTGACAAAAGCAGAAATTACCTTCCAAATGCTCTTCCTTCCTTTCAGGATCCAAAAGTTTTCATGCAACTTAGATAAAAATATGTGTATACCTGCATGAGCTATGCTGAAATGGAAATGATCAATGATCATCTGAAATAGCTGGTAATCACTTGGCAGGAGCCTGGGATAGATGCAATTCACATCATCCTTCCTTCCAGTTTGTTTTAAATCATAAGATACCTTCTCTATTTTGAAATGCATGTGAAGACTTAAAATTTCTTTTGAAGTAAAGACTTCCTTATGAAGTGCTTTTATCATATACTTCTCAGCTGAAGTCAATTCAAAAACAATTAATGCTCTCATGATTCAATCATTTTTAGGCATTTTTGTATTTTTGCATTCTCAAGATTTTCATGTAGTTAGAAAAGTAACTAAAGAACCATAAGTTTTCAGAGCTATTATAAGTTAATGAATGAAGTAACAAAACCTTTCTTCTCAATATTTACTTCTTCATTTACAACAGAATTGGATCTTCCCATTCGTCTTCTGGTAGTCTCAACCAAGAAGGGCCTTCCCACCATCTGGATTCCTTACGTTTGGCTGCTGAACAACTTCTGGAGGGAAATATCGTTCCAGTTCTCTGTCTTTGTTAAGCTGTGAATTTCTTTCACTGTATTTTTCACAAAAAATCCTCACTGATCTCCTTTTATACAGCATAAAGCAGTGGAAGAGTCAGTTCAAAAACCTGTAATATCATTCAACTCCTAAGTTTTTCTTGACAAATGAAGCTAATCGTGCTCTAGTGCAGCAAGCTAATAACTCTCAGAATTGCTGCCTTCTTCAATAGAGCAACTTGATTTGGCTTGAAGTAGTTGAACCAAAACCCTCTTTCCATTCTCACATCATAAATAACCTGTAATAGCATAAGAAAAATTAGAGGCATCGCAAAATTATGTAAACTATGAAAGTTCCAATTATTTAGTATAATATTTCTGGAAATTTTAGCTAAAAATAATAATAGCAGTTCCTTCAACTATTTTTTTGTATGTATGCAGGCACTTCAGGATCCCAGCTTAACTTTGCTTTTCAACTTTCTTATAACAAAATTTTGGCACAAGGGTTACCAGATAGCAGAATCTTATGGGATCAAATACTCTCTGCATAACTGACATGATGACTCTTCTTGCTGCTTGGATATCTGAATAACCAGTCTCACCTACATTATAAAACAGGTCTTCCTGTTTTTCTCAAAGTAATTTCTGAGCTCATGTTGATTTTGATTTAATATCACTATTTCTTAAATTTCTTATCTCGAGTAAGCTCCCAATCTACCTCTTAATTCGAAATTTGCTTCACTCATTAACTGTGTGGCTGATTATATTAAGTAATGCAACTCTTCTTCTGAACTACTGGCATAAAACAGTTGTTTATTTGAGTGATGAAGACTTGAGTGATTTGCTATATCACCAAGAGGTGACTAGTATTGCTTCAAATGAAAATCAATCGTACCTAATCGGAATGGACTGCAATTCATTCTAAACACAACACAACAGTAATGAAACATGTGCATTTCATTCCTCTCAAACTTGTGTCACCAGAGAAATCAAGTAATCACGTTTTTTCCTTGTTAACACTAATTTGTAGAAAAGCCTTTTATATGTGCAAAATTACTCATATTTCCTTTTCCTGAATCTTCAGCAAATTAGTAGTAGGCAGTAGGTTCAATAAAGTCAGTCCTTTCTTCCAGAGTCATTCCCATCCTTTCTGTTTACTTGAAGCATTGGAAACAGGCATCACCACTGTTGTGGAATTTTCTTTAAA